TTGTTGAGAGTATATTTCCAAGTGGTAGTGTTTTTGTATTGCAAAACCTGGAACATGACCTATCTGGTCAAGAATTCATCTGGAAATTCAGATCAGCCTACAGATACAATATGTAAATGACCATCTTTGTGAGACTTCCGTTTTAGTTTTGTTATTACAGTACTATATGTGGGTATATGAAGTTAAAAGATAATAACTGAAATGAAAGACCTCTCTTGCTTTCATTATTCCTGAACTGCTTTACATTGATTGCAGTTATTATCAAATATGCATGTATTGTTACTTTAGTTTTGAGTGTATATCTGCAATTCCAACGTACAGACTTAGCATCATACAATCTGTTTTTGGCATTAAATTGTGTACCTTGTCTACCTTGGTTGTATATTATTTTTTAATAAAATAATTTGTAGAAAAAAGATTGCAATAATTATTTTATGATGTTTAGGTTGCAATGGAAGTTCTAAACCCTAAAAAAAAATTTCACGCTCAGAGGATCAAAGGAAAGGTGAGTTTCTTTACCTAATTGATTTTTAGGATGGATGGCAATTTGGATTGATTCACATTTGGTAGTTATCCATTGCTGAATTTGAAAGGAACAGAACTCTTGAAGACCCCATTTACACTTCCATATAAAATCTTTGAACTGGATTATATGACAGTGTACACTCATATAATGCAGTTCAAATCAGATAATGTGGATTATCTGATTTGATAATCTGGATTATATGGCAGTGGAGAAGGGGTCTAAGGAAGAATAGAATTCTTATGACATTTAATTTAAAAGAATTCCTGAAATAGGTTTTAGACAATTCTGGAATAAAGCAAATTGTGTGTTTCTGTTCTATGCATATGGTGCATTATGATGCATTACAAGTGGAACAATTCATATTGCAAGCAGAGGTGACATTTTTTGATATTTGAAAAATAGTTTCAGACAATTTTCAGGTAACATGTAGAGCTGTGAAATGTCTAGAATTTGCTGAACTTTGGCTGTAATTGTTGTATTCATTTTATGCAAAAGAAGGTTTCATCCATCAGGAATTCTTAGTAATGTTCAGTAGTGAAATAACTGTAGTTATTAAACTATTGAACATTACCTCACTTGTTTTACAATGTTATTGAACATTACCCCACCCGTTTGTGCAATGTAATACTGAGATTAGCTTGTACAGTTCACAGTTCATCCTATTGTGAGAATGGGCAAAAAGAAAAGTTCCACAATACAGTTGGCCCCTTTCCTTGGTTTGAGGGCAGCATGACATCTCAGAAGCCATTTCTTTGGACACTGACAGCAGGGAAACATGTCATCCTCCTAAAGAGGAAGCTCCAATCTTCAGGGTAGAAACTGGTTCGGCTAACATTCTTATTGTTTAGTCACCTTATCTGTTTTGAGCAACCTAATTATCATGACTTTGTATTGTTTTAATTGGCTTCCTGTACTGATAAATAGAAAACAAAGGGACTGTTTGTCTCAACAAGGTTTCTTCTTTCAAGACAGCAAGATAACTCTGATTTTGTTTTTTTGGAAGTGCATCAAAATACTCTTATCTTTCACATCCCTCATTAGTATGCCCAATAAATTGATATATTTGTGGAGGATTTGTGAACCAATATTTTAACTTTATTGCTGTATTAGTTAGCTTATTTTTTACATGTAGAAAGATAACTCTGGGTACATCTATACAGAAGAATTTATTATCATTATCATTGTGAACCGCGTTGAGTCGCCTTCGGGCTGAGAAACTGCGGTATACAAGCAAAGTAAATAAATAAATAAATAAATAAATATTATGCTATAGCCTAGTTTTCCTTACAAAATAGATACAATACAATTAATGCAGTTTTAACACCACTAACTGCCATAGCTCAATGCAGTGAAATTCCAGGATTTGTGTTTTGGTGATGCACCAGCACTCTTTGATAGAGAAGGGAAAAACTACAACTCCCATGATTCCATAGTATTGAGCCATGGCAGTTAAAGTGGCTTAAACTGCATTAATTCTATAGTGTAGATGCACCCTTAGTTAAGAAATAATCTCTCAATTCATCCTAACCTTTTAGTTTTTGAAATACTGCTGTGCATCTACTACACAAGTAGACATGTTATTGCCTCCCCTCAAGTCTCATCACATTTCCCACTTCCTGACTTCACATATCCAAGTTGGAAAAAAAATATCCAGGGATTGTTAGCACAAAAACAATCAGTCCCCATCTAATCTGCCATATAATCCAGTTTCTGAATCCAGATTATATGGAAGTTTAGATCCAGCCTCAGTTGCTTGATGGTGGTGCAGTTGCCTATTTAAAAGCTATTTTAGTACCTCTTGATCTGCTTTGTGCCAGATCTGAAATATCTTTTGGGTAACTTCCCATTTTATAGGCTATTTTTGGGTGTAAAAGGGCAATTGGCAGTAAGGGCTACAAGAGGCTTAAAGAATATGCTTGCACATTTTGTGCTGATTTTCCCCCCAAACATTTTATACAAACTCTCAGAACTTTATGAAATGTTTTGATGTATTTAATTTTTGCTGCATTTTAAAATTCTGTCTTTGTTAAATATTTATGCAATCAATGTCTCGACAGATCGATAATATACCAGTTAAACTAAATGCAACTGCCATCTTAAGGGAAGGTGTCCTTTATCAGCGGAAAGTGGAAGAAGAGCTTAACAGGTACATACTGGTTATCACTTGCTTAACTCCATGATGTCAAGATTTCAAGAGGAATTAAATTGCGATCCTTTTTCATTATGTAGTTTTTCTCACTGTGGTCTCCTTTGACTCACATGGTCTGTTTTCAAACTTTATATTCTTTTCTAAAGAGCCGTATCATCTCAAGCCTCAGTTTATTAGATTTAGCTTTTAGGTAGAGTTCAGGCTTGTTCCGTTATAGCATCAATTTATTGGACTTTTTGGAAGTCTGTGGTATCTGCTCTCTCTTTCTCTCCTCTCCCAATGCAGCAACATAGTAGTATCTCATTTTTTCCCCATATAGAATTGAACACCTTCTACGAGGAGCCCGAGATCCATCTGAATACCTGGAATGGCAAGAGCAAATGCGTAGGAAAGATTTGGACCAGCAGCTCACAGAAGAAGAATGTAGGCGGCTGCAAGGAAAACTAAGCTATGAGGAAGCTATTGTAGCACGTCAGAATTGTATTCGGGAAAATCAGAAAAAAGCTGAGCAGGAGAGGGAAATGGTACTATATTAAAGTATTGTTCAGATTTTTTCAGGTTGTGACTTCTATGGGTGGACAACTTGGATAGCAACACAGAAGCTGAAAGGATTAAGATGGATTTCTGAATAGCAGGGTGAGGAGATCCCCTGGGATCTTCTTTACTATTTGCAATGTTATAAGCTGGTTTATATCATACATTTTCAACAATTGCAACAACCAAAAGGGTCTCCCAAACCTTCCTTAGTCTTCCAGGCAGTTCTATCAAGGTAGGGATCATCAAAGCCCTGGGATTTGAATGATGAGTGAAAAAGAGTTGGAAAGAGTTGAGCAATGGGAAAAGTTGAGCGATAAGACCTCGATACTGAAAAAAAATTCAAGAATAAGTGGTTAAGCAGTCAGTCTGTGGACAGTAATATCACAAATTAATCTAGACTAAGTTATGTCAGATCAACATTATCTCTCTTTTTTATTATGACTCTGATAGATTGTGGGATCACAGATGACATAATATAACAGTAGACATAAAAAACATGTGACATAAAAGAATTGAGTTGGCTTTCTCATCCCAACACAAATAATTGATGAAATCAATCCATGGAGCAATTTAACATTTACAAGCAGCAAATTCAAGCTGAGACGAGGGATGGGATTGACAAGAAAATTTATTGACAAATGAAACGTTCTGCACCTTGGACAGAATTGCAGTTTGTAATTTTCTTTGGAATTTAGGAAGAAGTAATGAGTCACCATTGTGAACAAAGAAAACTTAAAGAACTGAGGGGAAGACAAAAAACTGTACAGCAGGTGACAGAAGCACGCAAAAATGTGAAGCAAGCACAAATGAAGCTCCAAAAATGTAAACGGCAGATAGGTAATTAGCAGAATCGTATCTTTTCCACATTTTCTGAAAAGCAGCTATTCTTCTTGTTCACTCACTGGAATATTACTAAGGAGTGAAAGAGAAACTGAGTATTTAAATGTATTCTAAATGTCCATGTGTAGGGAGTCTGTCTTGGCAGAGTTATTTGTGAAGGATCTCCTCTGGTAATTAAGAGGGCTACCGCAAATGATTTATGAGGAAAAGGGAACTCTTTCAAACCAAGATTGGACTCTGGAAAGCAGATTATTTTTTTCTGTGAATATGTGAATAGTAGAGAGAGAAAGAAAACCAGTTGCATGCATTTTAACGTTTCTGAACTGCCTTGAGTCCTGAACTTAAGCTGGCAAGTCTAACTGAATACTGGCTAGAACTCATTTGAAAGACTATGATGTACACAGTACAGTACAGTGCACTGCACAGTGTCACCCAGTTGAGTTGTTTTGGGTGGTTAGAGACTTTTTATACTCTCCCCACAAATACAACATGCAGACAGTTCATTACTTGCTGTGAAGAATTTGATACGGAACCAGCAGATGTCCTGTTATTGGATACATATCAATCGGTTCAATCTGAGGATGTGAACAGAATTCTCAAAGAGATTGAAACCATCAGTAATCCATGTCCTTTCTTTAAAGCAGCTAGAGGAGGACTGACTGAGTGTGCAAGTGGAATGGTTTATATCTCACTGCAGCAAAGAAAGTTTCCATCTTTTTTTTTCTTGCAGTTTCTCAAGAATCCTGCCTTGGACCTTCATTGTCTTTACATTCAATGAACACTCACCTTCTATGTTGAGAGGACTGCCACCCTTTGCAAGTCATCTGTGAACTCACACAACAACCTCCCCCCCCCCCACCCCATTATGTCCTGCTCTCCCTAGCTCCCTAGGGAATGGAGACTTTCAGCAGGAATAAGGCTGGCCACGTGTACCAAGGGAGGAGGAGCTACTGCCAAAACATTTACATGACATCTCTAGAAAGTTCCAAATGCAGGCACTTTAAACCCTATCTTTGTCACTTTAAAGATGGTCAGTCAAACGATTACAGTTACAAGAGACCTTTCAATTTCTAAATATAGTATGTATAAGTCTTAATTACATCTGCATATATTACTAACAGGATGCTGGTTCAGACTGGATGGACGTTAACATTCAGAGTATTCAGAGTATTCAGAGTATTCAGAATATATTGTTCTGTAAAATCCTTGAATATTCCTGGAACGATGAGGGCCATATGCGAATGATACATTAGTCCGGAGAGAGGAAGGTAAAAGATGAATCCAGATAGATGATGTCTGAAAATTCTTCTACTTAATGAGCCCTTCCTTCCTTTTGCAGCTCAGGAAGTGGCTGAAGAAAGCCAA